CATTTATTACGTTAACATTATCATCTAATTAATTTTTAAATGAAAAAATTAAAAGTTAGTATTTTTAAATAAAAAAAATAAAAATTGATATTTTTAAATAGAAAAAATTAAAACTTAACATTCTTTTACAAAAACAGTTAAAAATTAACATGGTTATTTAGAAATTGATAAAAATTAATATTTTTAAATAAAAAATACAAAATTAACTCTCTTATTTGCATTTTTTTTTCGAGGATGTACTCTATTTCAAATTAATTGAAATTTTAGAAGAAAAAATTAAAACTTAACATTCTTTTACAAAAACAGTTAAAAATTAACATGGTTATTTAGAAATTGATAAAAATTAATATTTTTGAATAAAAAATACAAAATTAACTCTCTTATTTGCATTTTTTTTTCGAGGATGTACTCTATTTCAAATTAATTGAAATTTTAGAAGAAAAAATTTATTCATCATTAATTACCACTTTGAAAAACTCATGTCATATTAATTATTTTTTCCTATTTCATGCTTATCCTAAAATAATTTTCTTTTTTTTCAAATTAAAGATTTACAGATAATTTATGTGTTTACTAGTATTACTCTTAAAAAAGAAATAAAAGATAAAAATTTACTTTTTGTGATAAAATAATTAATTAAAGTAAATATTTAATGTAAGAGTTAAAGTAAGAAAAAAATATTTGTTACTTTAAAAAATAAAAAAGTGATAATTAATTTAAAATAAGCTCAAAATTAAAAAATAACAGTTATTTTAGTATAAAAGAGTAAATCATAAATGTTATGAGAACTTTAAAAGGCAAAACGGAACTCATACAACTTATCTCCAAATTTAAAACTAATTAAGTAATTTCTTTAGTTCTTATTCCATCCATGCTTGAATAATAGATTTTTTTTAATTTTATCTTAATATTAAAGATTTAGAAACAATTTTTATTTTTACTCATATTACTCCTTAAAAAAAATAAAAACAATGATACTTAAATTATGAATGAATAGATAATTAAAATAAAGAGATAATGATAAGGTTAAAATAAAAAATATTTATCTCCTTTAAAATATTAAAAAAGACTTATCTTGAGATAAATTTTAAATTAAAAAGGTCTATTATTCTAAAACAGATGAAATATAATTTTTTCTAATCTACTAAATGTGGTCCATTCATGTTGGACACCGGTTAGATTCACAAGAAAATTACTACTTTCCAATATCGCCTTAGGAAAAAGAAATTTTTGTTAACAAGGTATGAAAAAACCTTCTTCACCATCTAAGCTAATAATAGTTTAAAGGTTCTAACTTACGCCTATAACGGCACAAGTTAAAAAACCTAAGTAAAATCATAGAATTACCACCCAACATAACTTTGTTAAAATGTATTGAGATTATAATAAAGGATTTATTTACACATAAATTTTATACACTGTATTTATATAAAATCTCAATTATTTATCTTTTTACTTTTAATAATTAGAGATTTATTACATTTTTTTAGATAAAAAAATAATTATATTTAATAAATATGAATAAATATTAACCATTAAAAGTAAAGAGATAAATTATTAAAATTTTATGTAAATGCATCTTAACCAGAAAAATAACTATCAAATTTGTTTTCATGTTACCATCTTAATTAAGTTACAAACCCTTATCTTGTTTGACTCTCATGTCATTGTATAAGTATATGTCAACTACCCACTTGCAACCCAATATACATTAACTTAGAATAGATAGCTTGTCAATATGAAAATCCAGAATAGATATATTGATGAAGACAGATTAGCATTGACCCGGCACTTATGCACCAGGTCATGGATTAATGAAAAAAGAAAAAAAAGAAAAAAAAGTGCCTTCAGAAGCAATTTAATCAAAAGATCAAACTCCTAGTTGCAAGAGTTCACATGGAAGACTTCTCATTTGAAGCCTTAGAAGGGTTTGCATCCATTATCAGCGACCTTTTATTATCCAATAATTAATATTTTGTAGCTTGATTTCTGAAACAATTTGCAGTGCAAGATACCCTTTTGATACCCTTTTGATGCTAGTTTAATGGCTTCTTAATGACTTCAAAATGATATAATTACAAAGTTTTGAGGCATTATGAACTTAAAACATGATATATTATCATATAATTAATCTTTTTCATTTAAAGAACCACCTGTGATATTGTTTATATTCACTCATTAATAGTACATCACACATTTAATGTCACATTATAATTATAGATTTACAATTCTATGAAACATTATAACTATGATATTATCATAATGATTTAAAACCATGAAATATCTACAATTTTCATCAATGGAATATATTAACTAGTAATTAAAGATTTGAGAATTTAAACTCGAGATTTTATATTCAAACTTCAAAATAAGTAAAAAATAATATTTTTATTTCAAATTAATTGACCTTTTAGAAGAAAAAATTTATTCATTTTTAATTTACGTTTTGAAAAACTCATGTTTTATTAATTGTTTTTTTCCAATTTTATCCACTTTGAAAAGGAAAAATGCTATTATTCATACACTAATATATCTCTAAAATCAAAACTAATTAATTACTTTCCTTAATTTTTGTAATTTTTTTCTAATCTACTGAAATACGGTCCATTCATAGTAGACGAATTCGCAAGAAACTACTACTTTCCAATAACGGAATAACACCCCCCTGCTCCCAAGGAAATGAAATTTTAGTTACAAAAGTATACATGGAACAAACTTCCTCTCCATCTACTTTCCAAGATGGATTCACAAATTTTAGTTAAAACGCATTGCTTTAACAAAATCATGGGTCACAATAACCCCCAGCCCCCAATATATATCAACGTAGAATATATGGCTTATCAATATGAAAATGCAGAATAGATCGATGAAGACAGAATAGCATTGACCCGGCACTTATGCACCAGCTCATGAATCAATATTAAAAAAAAAAAAAAGAAAGAAGAAGAAGAAGAAGAGGGGCCTTAACATTTCATTTAATCAAAAGATCAACTACTAGTTGCAAGAGTTCATGTGGAAGATTTCTCATTTGAAACCTTATAACATATTAACACATATAATATGTGTATCCCCTTCCAACTGTCACACAAGAAGGGGGCAAAGGGAAAAAGGTTAGCTAATTTACAGAGTTCCAATCAAAGGGAACTTTCTTTGTTCAATCTTCCAGGGATCATTTTTAATTGCACATTGATCATCTTTATTAGTGCTATTGAGCTTATATAGCAACATTCAACTGATTCCAAGACATTTCTGAAACATGGTGTTTACCTTGTACTTGTTGCATATTAGACAGTGGACCTTTTTTTAACATCCTCTGCTGTATTCAAAACACACCACTCAAAAAGCCCCTACAGCAGCAATATTTAGGGGATCAAAATCGAGGCCAAGAAAATAATATCTAATATCCACAATAGGGATGGCTACATTTTCTTACCAAATCCCAGAAGGTTTCTTATCTTGATTTCTGCAAGTGAAAAATGCAATGGTGCTCTCAGGAGGGTAGTTTTCACCAAGGAAAAACGAAGACTATATGAAGCCATTTCTAAATAACACAAGAAACAAACAACGAGGTTACCTTGGTTTCCCTACGAAAGCATTATTGATTTCATCTATGTTTGGCTTTCCATCAAATGTTGACAGGATGACATACTTTTCCTTCCCAGATGGTTCATCCACCCTCTTGTATAATTCATAAGCGTAGGGATAAGACATCCTAAAATCATGAGATTATAATGGTTAAGAAAGATTATTTATACAATGTTTAAGAACAAGTCTGAAGGTACATAATACAGCCAGATTTAACTTGCTAGGAGTGAGGACATCAAACTTTTTCAAACAATGATGATTAATTTCATCAAACAGGTATAAACAAAGAAAGGAGATGGGGATCTAAAATTAGTATGGTGGACAATATCAACCTAACCAATGTACCTTCCTCCAAGGTATTACATGAGAAGATAACATTCATTATATTTTTGAGGATGTGAAATCAAAATAGGAAGAGATGTCACACAGTTGTCTAGCATGGCTACTGATACAAGGGGTTAATCCCCTACTCCTATTCCAAACATTATAAAGTTTCAGCCATCTTGGCAGATTTGCTGAGGAAATAATCTAGGAAATTAACCCTCTGTTAAAAAATTTTACATAAAGAGCGGCTTATGGTTCAGATTTATTAAATTACTGATTTGTCAGCTTGGTGCTTTGACAGTGTCTAGTTTTACTCTTCTTTCCAAAGTTGACTAAAAATAAATCAGTTAAGAGATTAGTCCCTATTATGTCACAATAAAGTGGATTAGTTGATTATGTGGATCTATGATGTAGTAAAATGTTTTAGTGAGTAAGCATGCAGGGTGACTTTTGTTCAAAATAACTAGTATTATTTTAAAAAGTATCCGGATGATGAACATATTTGCAATTTAGACTGGGGGCTCCAAACAAACAAAATATCAAACATTCATCAAATGCAATATAGACAGACAAAATGCACTACTAAACCTACCTTAGGGCACCCATAATTGGATATTGAGTTCCAGCATAATAAAGCAGCCTAAAGAAATAGCAACTTTCAAAAGAAGCTGCATACTCCAATCTCTTGTCCCGACCCATTGTCTGGAAAGAAGTAGCATAATTAGGAATTCCTTTAAATATAAACTACCCGTTACACAAACTGTCAGACAATGGGCCAAGGTAAGTAGTCCAGAAGCATCCTTCTTTTTAAGATTCATATCATTGTGTATAGCATTTTCACCAGTGCCTCTTTTCCATTTTGCATTAGTGCTCAGAACAAAAGAAAGGAAAATAAAGATGAGAAATCCATGTACTTTCTTCGTTTTGTACTTACTTGCATAATACCACTTGAACCAGGTAAGTCCTGAATTTTAGAAACCAACAAATATGTTAGTCAGACAAAAAAATCAGTAACTCATATTTATTTCTCCATATTTTTAGAGGGTGGATATGACACTTATTTGATAGAGACCAGTTAGACATTATGTGAATGAGAAAGCAGTACAGATGTGGTTTAAATGGTATAGATGGCTCAAAGCCATCCTGATGATATATAACTCATTTTGATACTGTTTAGCAATATAAGCAGATTTCAGATACTAAGTAGGGAAGTTAAGGGGACACAAGCAGATTCTTGAATCACATATCTAGCACCATGTTTGTTCATCATTAAAAGTTTTCTCCAATTAACAAGCTTAAAGCATGTTTGGTTATCATTAAAAGTTTTCTAATTAACACCTTGAAGTAATACTCAGACATAAAAGACGACAGGAGGATAGACTTATCCTGTTATCCAACATTTTTTTATTCTAATCACTCAATGAAAGGAAATTCAGCTAAAGTTATACAGAATCCTGCCTTGAGCCTGGGATTGATGAGAATAACAGGCCGGTTTCCAGCAGCATCAGTCATTGCTTTTAGATCCTGTGAATTGAGCTTCAAGATTAGAAAGTAAAAGTAAAATTGAATGGTGCGAAATGCAATCTGCTCTTTTAGCTCCTTACATCTATAATGCAGTTTCCAACAGCATTTTGAGGAGCCACTAGGATGAACATGTCATCTTGTTCATCAACCTCTTTGGAACCTGCCACAGAGAATAAAGAAAATTATTAAATAAATAGGAGTTATTTAAAGAATTAGCAACAAGCCTTATCGTTTATTCCATTGGCTAACCAGGCATCACAGAAAGGAATTATACTTATCTATTATTCCGAATACTTTACTGAAATTAATATTCATCAATGTTACAGAAATCACATTTTAGATTTCATCCCAATAGGCCTAGTTATCTGCAAGAAAGCACTTCATGCATTGCCAAGAAATAAATTTGGGCATAAGCTTTCTTCCTACAATACAAATGTCAGTCAGTATATGTTCTAGCTTCTGCAAATGAACAATGAAAAATACTAGTGAAGAACATATGATATGGGCCAAACATGCCAATTTTCAATAGGGATAATTGTTCTGCTGCGCTCACATTTATACATATGAAATACCATAATAATTATGCATGGAATGAAAAATACCAGAAATTATGTTTTAAATTCAGTGTAACATACCACAGTCATAAAAATAATTCAGTATCCTACCTATTGAACCAAACTTGATGAATGTTCCCTTGGCACCATAGTCACCCCAATCCATAAACTCCAAGATCTTTCTAGTACCAGCCAGTTGCAATGGCATTCCAGCGAGTGCACCTTCTCCCATGGAACCTTGTACACAAACCTGAAATACAAGCAGACCAAAAGCCTGGATAAGTACAGGCAGCATTTAAAAATGCATTGCTAAATGCCAAGAACAAGTACCTTGACGCATTTTCCATCATCAGCAAATGAAAGAGCAAGAACCCGAACAAGTTCCATTAATGTGCCTATTCGATAAACATCCTGTAAATGACAAAATTTGTTAACCTAACCAAATTTAGACCAAGAAGACTAAAAGGAAAAGATTAAAAGAGAACCCCTCACCATTTCTGGGTTCAACTCTGGGATGTTTATCTCCACCTGTTAATTTGGAAATACAGCTTAGAAACAACCAATCTAGCAGTGAGTTTAGTTCAAAAATTCCAATGACAGAAAGAAAAGTAAATTCTCATTCTAACTACATGTCTCCTTCTTTTTTATCAACAGAAAGGCATCTCTTAGTTAATAATTCCTATTACTATCAAATTCTGTGGCTTAGGCTTGTTTGCTCATTGCTTTACATTTGCAAAAAAGTTTTTTTGAAATGAGACATTTTAAAATTCCAAAAAGAGAAAAGCATTTCTTTTCGACCAATACAAATGACTCACTAAAAGATATACATAAAAATACCAATATCTGGCTGAGAAGTAACCAGTAATACATTTCACATGGTATTCTTCCCAATTGGGATAGCTGAACACTGAATGAATGGATTATGGACATATTTTCTATTCTGTGAGAATATCAAGGTTAAGACTTTTATCAATTAATCACAAATAGAAGTTGGCTGCTTGATGGCAAGATTTTATCACATCAAGTTTCTATATATATATATATATATATATATATCATATAATGCCTCACCATGATTGAATATCTATCAGCACTTTCTACTATGGAATCTACAACTCCCGGTTTTTCTCTTTAAAAGGAGAATAAGTTTCCGTTCATCAAATCTAGATATGAAGACAAGTAGCTTAAAATATATAACATATAGGGTTACTTGAAAGTGATAAACTTGGGCTAATTTCTATAGCTGGTTAGTTTTAATCTAAATGAAACAGATTGTAATGTTGTGACCTTTAATCGAGTTCTTCCATCATTTACAGCTCTCTGTGTGGCTACTAACACATCATCATAGAAATAATCCCTGATTTCTCGAGAATGAGGAATGTTATTTAATCTTGTTGGGATTCCTCTCCATTTGTCCTGTTAAAAGCAAAAGAAAATAAGAAACAAGTTGCAACTTCATGTCTTCATGTGAAGCTGAAAACTGGGACACAGGAAAGTGAAATACACAGTAAATGTATAATCACATACCTGGCTTGAAGATCCCTGATTCAAACGGCTCTCAGCATCTAGCACTGCTTTTGCTGGTAGTAAGAAGAATATGTGAAAAGATTTAGACGTATAACAGAAGCCAAGGTCAATAAAATATATTTAAAACAAGTTTGTGGAGTTAACAATCCAAACTACAGTTCCCCAAACACAAATCATCAAGTAATGAAAAAATTGCATCAATTTTTAAGAATGCAACTTCCTTCAATTCAAGGGAGGAATATGACAATATGGTAACCATATGATTAGGTACATAAAATCAGATTACACATAATTTGAGGGTGGTCAGTGGAAAAAAAAAATAACAAGATCAAATAATCTCCACTAAGGTAATAAAATGCAGAGCAAACTAAGAAACAATTCCTTATAACCTGACCTAACTCAACTGAATTAATCGCTAGAGTATGATCTTCCTTCACTTGGGACAATAAGGAATCTATTTCTTTGAAAACTATTTCTTTTGGTCGGTTACCATCAATCTGCAATGAAGAGGAAGAGAGAAAGAAGTTACTTAAACATATTTAATGAAAATTACGATAAAAACTGTAAATATGAAAACCTTCTTCATTATGCTTGAGTAAGTGGATGATATTGCTTCTGCGTTTTGCTTGTATATTTGAAGTCTTGATTTCACCTAGGTAACAATTGAAGAAAGTTAATGTTAGGTGGAAGGAATAGAGCTCAAATCAAACCATATTAGATTAACAAAGAGTAGCAAGTTTCAGTAATATTTACTAGAAAATTACTGCATGGTATGAGCAGCAGTTTATCTGAATGTCAAAGTCTCAATAATTACACAAACAAAATTATAAATGTGAAATATTTGAATCAAAGTTATCATTGTTGACAATAGATCTTATATGATCATACTTTTTCCTCTGTGTCATCAGGACGAGTCACCAGTCTTGCTTTAATTTCCTCTGTCTCCGGTGGGAAATTTTTTAGATGATAAATTTTCCCTGTCACTGGGTCTAGCCTTCTACCGACACATCTGTCGATTAGAATTTCGTCAGGAACCTGAATATTAAGAAGTGTCATGAATGTAAAACTGCAAATTCATTAGCGGTAATTATGTATATGTTAAAGTAATAGAAATTAATTTACTGTAAAACGCACAAAGTATGAGAGACAGAAGAAAAAGATCCAGATATATAAGAGTTCAGAATTAAGCCATGAACCTCTCACATGACCAATTAATACATTCAAAATAAACTTTTTTCCGTGAAAAAACTCACAAGAGGAACAAAATTTGTCACTACTAAAGAAGGCCAGAAACTTTCAACTTTGAAACATTATATTGAAACCATTTGTGTTTTTCTTTTTTGGGTTTCTTCCCTGAAATAAAGGCAACATTTTGAGAGATGCTAAAGGGACATTTTGTTGTAACCATCAAACTCATAAGAAAAGATAGCACAAAATGTAATTTACATACATCTAATACAATATAGACATATGGTCTAATGTTCAATTTCTCTAGACTGTCTGCCTGAGCCGAAGTCCTTGGATAGCCATCAAGAAGCCACCCTCTTTCTTTAGCATCCTGGCGTGATAATCTTGCTGTCACCATCTGAAAATGAATAAAAGAAAGGGTTTTTATTCATGAATTAAAAAGTGTAACATTCTGTATGTATGACTAAGTGAGTAAAAAGGTAGTGCATTCATATTTCATACAGCTGTGACGATTTCATCAGGAACCAGACGCCCAGAATTCATGAATTCTTTTGCTTTATTTCCTATTTCTGTCCCAGCTGATACTTCAGCTCTCAATAAATCACCTGTTGATACGTGCACCAATCCAAACTGCAGAAGTGAAAGCACCCAAAATTTTGCATACTTTCAGAGACAAAAAAAAAAAAAAAAAATTAAACATGTGCAATTGAAGAAATGGGGATAGAATTAAACAGCACCTTGTTAACAATGAGCTCGCACTGGGTGCCTTTTCCGGATGCAGGGGCACCGGATATCATCACCTTCAAAGGTTCACTCTTGGAGCAACTGGGTCTGAATGCCTGCTGAAAAGACAGAAGAAAAAAAAGGAATAAGCGAAAGAAGAAGGTAAACATAGCTCTGATAATAGGAGACAGACCTTGGGTTTTGAGTTTATTCTGAAGTGGGTTTTGGTCCGGAGAGGGGAGGAGATGGTGAAGAAAGCGAGACATGAAGAAGAAGAAGAAGAAGAAGGAGAGAAAGAGATGGAAGAGTGGGGAAGCGAGGTTGAAAGGGGAGATAGAGAGGGAGTTGGACGGTGATGGACAACAGAAGAGTGAAGAGACGTAGCAGGCAACATTGGTGCAGAGTGCAGAGTCCGCGAGCAAAGAAGAGGCCTTTCCCCCTTTACTCGAAGCTTGTTGCTAACGGATAAACAGGCACCATTGAAATTTTTT